TTTAGGGGCTGAATCTAGCTTAAGCTATGTGTTGATTTTTGCCGCTATTGTATGCCTATTTTTTGGTAAATTTCACTTTGCACTATTTAAATTACTACTCGCTTGTCTTTGTTCTTGGGAAAATGTAAGAATGATAGTTCCAAGCTTTTCGTGAACCTGCTTTTGCTGTTGATGCATAGACCCCATCTTAAAATCAAGTACAAGACCAAACTTTAAATTCACAGACTTTACCTTCCGGGCGATTTTCTTAGCTCGCTCTTCGATAATTTGCTGAGCAAGTTTACGGAGGTACTGGAAGGCCTTCTTATACTCGGGATAACCGGAACTCAACCAGAACACCCAAGGGATTAGGAGAAAAGGATTGCGGAATTGGCGTTCCTGGATAAACTGAGTCATGGTTTCACATGCAGAAAAGACATCTAACCCCTCTTCCTTTGGCAGCTCTTGAAGCTGAAAGGAAAAAAAGGGGGCACAATGATTGCACTACACATTAATTTCACCTTCAATATTACAGATTCCAGCAGCCGTATACCGCACTCTTTCGTCTCTTAACCCAGGAGGTGATAGTCTTATAGTTTTGTTTAAGCGTTGCTTGCCTCATTTCCTTTGCACTATTTTGTGACTCACAATTAAACAATGTTCTTGTGTTTTTAGATAAATTTAAGAGGTGTCTGGAGCCTCCTCTTTTAAACAGGTATGTCAGAATAGTCTGTGTATGCGTGGAAGCCGGTTACCAAATTAAAAGGAAGATCTTACCTGGCAATTCGATTTGTAAGAAAAGGCAGTGCGAAGAATGACATCAAATGTGGCAAGTACAAGCTCACGATTGACATCAATTGGTTTGCCCTGGACAGCTAGTTGGTCCATTTTCCCCATCAGTACCTCCACGCAGTCGTTGTACACAGAGGTGTAGGTGCGAAGGACGTCCAGGTGAAAAGAGTGAGTCAAGAGCCGGCGATTCCTCTTCCATTTGGCCCCATTAGCTGACACAAGCCCCTCACCCACCCAGTCAGCCATCAGGTCGTACATCGGAGACTTTTTGCTGGCTACAGTCCCCGTCAGCAGTGGCTTGACGGTCTCAGGATGGACCAGAACGGGAAAAGGAATTGGTCCTTGCCACAAGGTGTAGACGCGGGGAAAGGCTTTCACGGTATCCAGCAGCCACTTGAAGCTGGTGGCCAAAGAGCCAGTGCGCTCCAGGCGGAGTGGGAAGCTTCTTCATGGCATTCCTCCAACTCACAACCTGTTTCAGTGACGCGAGAACTCTCCACAAGAAGGCCGTTGCAAGTGCTATGCCAATTACTTGCCAAATCATTTTGTTGCCGTGCCCAGAAGCCTCAAACAACATGAATTGCACTTGTTACAAACATTGAGGATAAAGCATCGGCCCAAAATTCTGAGGCGTTTTATAATGCCCCAGACGTCAGAGCTCATCACAAGACGGTAAATATAGAGTTTACCTCAAACTGGGCCAAGTTGAAAAATCTTTATGCAAATCATACCATTACAATGAACAGCTCAAAGAGCTGTGACCTACAATAAGGTTATGTCAATATGCTTTAATAAATTAATACGTGTCAATAAAATTACTCATGCAAGTATCAATTTTCACAAGCGTGATTTATTCCCAAGTTTCTTTTCCGATCAATTTCATCCTGTTTGTGAAACTTTCTAGTTCATGGAACCATGATGGAACCTTCCAAAGTAAAAAAGGAAGCTTTTTATGTCATATAACTATCAGAGGTCAGAAGACCTTTCCAAGACCTAACAAATACTCTCTGAAGGCGAAAGTGATCTCCTGGATTAACAGGACGGTCTAATTGCAGATAATGTAGAGTACTAAATAAGATGTCTTAGTATAGTTGTACTGGCAAAGGTCTCACCATTCACAAATGTCCTGAAGCCCAAGAAGGCTTTTCACCCCAAGAGGTCTTAAAGCCTACCAAGTCTTAAAGCCCCTCCCCGGAGAAATACTTACAGCCTCCAAAAGGTTTCACAGACCTAAAAAGGTTTGGCAGCCCCAAAAGGTCCTAGGGCCCCAAAGGTTTCGTGACTCCTAAAGCTAAACACAGCCCCAAAATTTTCATGTCCTAAAAAGTTCTGGGGCTCCCGAAAAGTTATTGAACCCCCAAACGTTCTCACAGACCCCAAAAGGTCTCGCGACCCGTAAAGGTCGAGTAAGCTCAAATTCCAATTCATACTCTTGATCAAATATTCTAAGCGTTTCAGGCTGAGTTTGAAACATGTCTGACTAAATACATACGACAGCAGACTTGACCAAGTCGGGATCCCCTGCCACGTTGTCTTCGTTTTGCTTTGGATATGGAGGGTGCACTCACGCAAATAGGCCAGAAATATGTCCGTGGAGCTAGAAGTTCCAAAAATATTCTATATGAGGGGGTCCTGAGAGCGACGGAAATTAAGGAATTGAAGAAATATGGCACTTAACCTCTGACCTGGACTCAGGGCTTCCAATTCTGAGCTATTTGGATGCAGTTGGGTCCAGAAGTGGCACTATTTAGCCGATTTGCAGAGGGATACATTTTCAAAATTGCTACTTTTCTGGGCAGTGAATTTTAATTCATTTTAAGGCTGGTCTGCTTTGGGTGAGAATTTCTCAAAAATGCCATTGGTCAACCCACTAAAAATTGAGAGGAAAATGAAAGAGGACATGTCGAACATCGTTTTTCTGTACAGCCTGAACACCTGTGAGAGTTGTATTTTTTTAAAATTTGTGAAGCATGGGGATTTATCACTGCTCGCTATGGGAATTTATATGATGTGGTGCACCCATTATGCTTGATTAAGTCCGCCATCGAGTTCTGCCGTCTCGGCCCAAGACTAGTCATTCACAGGCCACTCACAGGCCCCAGGATCTGGCTGAAAATGGATTTTTCGCGTGGTTACTTTCTGGCAACTGATACTGAACGAGGACAAGTCTCGTCGCCACTTTCGTCGATATGTACGTCCAAATTAAAAGTTTAGGATTTGAAATCAATTTGGCAGTATCTCTAACACACCAGGTGGACTACTAACCATTTATCAGTGCTCGTTAAAACACATCAGAATCACCTGAAATTGGTACATGAAAATTTACAGAAAACACAATTACTAAATAAACCACAGTTACGCATAACCAAGAAATTAATACAGGTTTCAAAGATGGTAGGCCTATGCCATAAAAAAGATAACACGTCGATGTTTGTTGCACAGACAAAGTGCTAATACTGAAGCACGCCTGGAGAACTCCTGATCATCATCGAGGTTGGACTAAACGCGATTGAATTGAAGAACTACAGTGACGTCCGTAATGTTTTGTGGGGCCATCAATGAAACTGATCTATAACCAGATGTCGGAGAGCTAGAGCATCATGTAAACAATCCATGATAAATTTTTTTAAAAACTTGTTAAGATCACCATTAACCTGATTGTTCGAACGTTAAACGTGAAAAATTACAGGAAAAAGTGCAGAACAGCGTATAGCAAACTCATAATGCATAGATTTAACATAACTTCCAGAGTGACGGTGTCAAGGCATGCTGATGAAAAAACGTATGGAGTAACAGAAACACAAACTCTCCCCGAGTGTCAGATAAACGTGGCTGAAGTGGGAAACTATACAAAGCTGTCTGATCATCTCCCAAGTCTTATATACGTTTAGATAACTTACTGTTTGATTACGTCATTAATTTGACAACACAACACTTGGTCTTGTCCAATGAAAATTTGAACTGTGGTGCATATAACAAAAAGATTTTCAGTGTGCTGCTAGAGGGTTTCGACTTAATTGGGTTGTCTTGTGCACATCCCCTGCCAAAGAAAGCATCAAATAAAAAAGTGTGGACTACATTTGTATGTTGAGACTTCCATGTCAGAAAAGTTTTCCTAATATCCTTTCCCTTTGGAAGTAAAGATCAGGAAACATTTTGTCCTAGCAACAAATATGAATATTTTCGTTCAGTTTTGACCTTATTATGATGTCATGGTACCGCAAACAAAGATCTCTATGACTATATCAAGGTTTATCATGTCTCAATCTAGTATACGATGAATCGTTTGGGAGAGTGGCTTAGAACCCGTTGTGAGCTTGGGCAGTCACCTAAAAGTTTATTCGTTAAAAAAAAAAAAAGAGCCCCTCGCTGCACTGCCAGTTGCCCATCCTAAAATGTATCCTTAAGGCTTTATCTCAGAAATCACCTCGGTGAATGTTTCCAACTTAGAAGTGTATTCCACAAAAATGTCTACCAATCAATGGTTTGAACCAAAGAGGCTTTTACTATGACGTTGCCAGGGCTGATGCTAGGGGTTTTATAACACTACAGCTCTTGAACCCCCCCGGTCTTAAAGCAAAAAAAAAAGTTTAGTAACTGCAAAAGGTCTTTGCCCCAAAAGATTTCGCAACTGCAAAGGGTCTTTAGCCCAAAGGATTTTGCAACGGTCTTCCAAACCCAAAAGGCTTATTACTCAAGCTCTTACAACATCAAAAGTCCTTGTGAACCAACATAAAAAACAAAATGAGGGTCATATGCAGATGGAAATCCATGAAGGAGTGTAACACTGCAATGGCCAATAACAACATTTATTCGAGGATCGAACAGAAGTATAGTAAGTAGTTCACAATGACAACCCCAGCTGCATTCCATTTTCACAGGACGAAGAAAAAGTAGGCTTTAATTTTATCACGCCCACACTGTATTTGCCTCTATACCTACGTTGCTCGTATTATATCATTAATGAAAAGTTTAAGATAAATCTATGACCCTGAAAAACTGCGACTTACAAGCTGACACAATTTACAAACATAAAAGGAAATTTTGGAAGATAGGTAGCGGTTATACAGCAATATTTTGTTTGTAAACATAGGTATTTAAAAAAAAAAAAGTAAATTCCAAAAACACGTTTCCTTTTCCAAGGTTTTAAATGAAGGTAAAATTGGAACTTGTCATTTGTTTGTCTAAAAGAATCGAGTTTTATCTAAAATATTCAAAAGAATCAACTCCCCGGGAACGTAGAGCATTCCTTCACAATTATGACAGCAAAGTTTCAATCAGGGATCGACTTGTCCATCCCCCACACAATATAAATCTTGCTACTTTCAAATTATCAGTGTTTACTATTAAGACAGAAAGACTGTCTACATAATAATGGCCTGGAATTAGCGTCAAAAATACGTCCAATATGTCACTTCAATGAAGGTGACAAGATAAGATGATATTTCAAACATTTATGAGATTAAGTACATGCAGCCTGCTTTAGCAACCATAAACCAAAAGGCCAACACTATTAAACTAGGTAAACACGCAGTCGTGGATGCTTCAAATAGCTAACTACCAAAACTTTTATTCATCAAGAATAAATCTCTCACACAATATTCTTCCTTTGACTAACGCAACAATAGGCTATGGCATGAATATCATTGGTATTTTTTATAGTGTTGAACAAGTAAAACCAAGCAAACATACATTAAGCAATACTCTCAATAGCTAATACCGACAATCCAAACAAAAATTTCACATATTTTCAGTTAAACGGACCCTATAAATTTACCTATAACTCAATCGTTTTGAAAGTTCACTTAAACTTAAAGCTGCTGTAATGCAAGCTTATAATTCTACCTAAAATTGTCTCCATTGATTTACATTTCAAGCAATTAAAATTATCATTTGGACACGCAAAGAACAATCTGGGTTTTTTTTTTATATCAATAGGCATATAAACCTAATCTATCAGCACCATAACATAAAAAGTAAAAGTAACAATAAAATATATCTCATAAACAGATTAACACAATATCACTATTTCAAACCAAATACTTACTAAATTAAGCGAAGAGGTTGGCGTTTCTCATACAGCAGTCGTAACGCAAATCAACACAATGCACTATTAAAACACAATTTTAAAAGCAGCTTCGGTATAACCTTCATATACCTATTTGGCTACCTGATATCAATCAGGACAGCTTACCTTGGCTTATCAATTGTAATCGATTATAATTAGGATTATAAGCTCTTTTAAAAGGTTTCACATTCCAGGTTTATACAACTTGATTTCAAATTGTGGGCGTATGTATGGCATTTTGACAAACAGCAGTATTTATTTTTGGTAGAGTTTTTGCTATATCAACAGATGAGAGCTTATTATTTTTCACAATCATTCCTCACAAAGTTGGGGTTCCCGCCATCTTCACTCTATGGATGATTTAATTCCCATGAAGATGTTCAATGGCGATATACAATGGTTCCATTGGTTTAGTGACGAGGTTCATCTGTGGAACTGGCTCTGGTTCCCCGTCAACCAGACTCAGACGGAACCTCATCAGGATTCGACCCAAAAACACCTTCATCTCATTCAAGGCGAACTGCTGACCAAGGCAATTCCTCGCTCCGGCTGAGAAAGGCATGTAAGCGAACGGGTCCATCTGGGAAAAGTTTTCAGGAAGGAATCGAGAGGGCTTGAACTCCATGTGGTCGTGGCCCCAGACGCTCGGGTTGTGGTGGAGCTGGTGAATGCCAAGAAATACCGTTGATCCGGCAGGGATTGTAACGCCCTCTACTTTGTACGGCACAGTCACGGTACGAGTAACCAACGCTCCTGCGTTCATCATTCTCATGGACTCCTTGATGACAAGAGTCATATACTCCATACGGCTGAGGTCCTTGCTAAAATGAAATACCACATAATGCAATTCAATACATCACGATGATATAGTGCTTAATTTTTTTCAATAACATGTTAATGACATAGTTCAAATGCAAGAATATCAAACAGTGAACTTCAAATTACGGCCTCATAGTATGTATGCATGTCGAACTCCTGAGATGTACCGTTGAGTATTAAACTACAGATCTAGAGTCTGAGTCCAGCCAGTTGAGATGAGTCACACTCTTATGCACACTGTTCTCCATGCTTCTCTCCATCAAGGAGGACGTACGTATAGCTATCGTGGCAGATATCGATGACTAAGTTGGCTTTGAATCAGGAACTCTTTCCGCTGAAACAGTACAACTGATTCTCCCTGCCCACGTCATTTATGATTTATATGAACTCATCAACAATATGTTCTTAGTGTGATGTTCTTGAAAATATATTTTGGGTTTCTAAATAGTCATCTCTTCAAGACTCAAATATTCTCCAAAAGGTCTTCCGGTTAACAATGATTCGAGTTTTTCGAGGGAATAATTTCGCATGTATCCAGATCTACTGAAAGTGCTTACCTCGTAATTCTGTCAGAGTCTCTATCGGCCAAAATCTCCTTCACTTCTTCCCTAATCTTCGTCTGGTGCTCAGGATACTTTGCCAGGATGTGTAGCAGCCATGTCAAGGAAGTGGATGTGGTGTCTTGGCCGGCAAACATAAAGGTGTTAACTTCATCCGACATTTCCTTCGTAGTGAAGCCCTTGCCGTCTGCATCTCTGGCCATCACAAGCGTGTCCAAGAAATCACGTGGTTTAGTGATGGGGTTACCAGCCTCCATCTGCATGAGGAGTATACAAACTATTCAGATCCATACACTGGGTGATATCAACGCTGGATGATAACCAAACCGTAGTAAGCTGCAATTGCAGCACAATCAACTTGAACACTGCTGTAACAGTTCCAACATGAACTTTTTGGTCTTTCGATGTAAGGACTCTTAAAATCAAGTGCAAGACCAAACTTAAAATTCACAGACTTTACCTTCTGGGCGATTTCCTTCGTTCGCTCTTCAATAATTTGCTGAGCAAGTTTACGGAGGTACTGGAAGGCCTTCTTATACTCGGGATAACCGGAACTCAATCGAAACACCAAAGGGATTAGGAGAAAAGGATTGCGGAATTGGCGTTCCTGAATAAACCGAGTCATGGTTTCGCATGCAGAAAAGACATCTAACCCCTCTTCCTTTGGCAGCTCTTGAAGCTGAAAGGAAATAAAGGCGGGACAACATATTCGCACTAGACATTAATTTCACATTCATTATTACAGATTCCAGCAGCCATACACCGCGCTCTTTGTCTTTCTAACTAGGAGGTGATAGTCTTATAGTTTTGTTTAAGCGTTACTTGTCTCATTTCCTTAATTATTTTGTGACTCACAATTCAATATTCTTGTGTTTTTAGATAAATTTAAGAGGTGTCTGGAGCCTCCTCTTTTAAACAGGTATGTCAGAATAGTCTGTGTATGCGTGGAAGCCGGTTACCAAATTAAGAGGAAGATCTTACCTGGCAATTCGATTTGTAAGAAAAGGCAGTGCGAAGAATGACATCAAATGTGGCAAGTACAAGCTCACGATTGACATCAATGGGCTTGCCCTGGACAGCTAGTTGGTCCATCTTCCCCAGCAGTACCTCCACGCAGTCGTTGTACACAGAGGTGTAGGTGCGAAGGACGTCCAGGTGAAAAGAGTGAGTCAAGAGCCGGCGATTTCTCTTCCATTTGGCCCCGTTCGATGTTACCAACCCCTCACCCAGCCAGTCAGCCATAAGTTTGTACAACGGAGACTTTTTGCTGGCTACAGTCCCCGTCAGCAGCGGCTTGATGGTCTCAGGATGGACCAGAACGGGAAAGGGAATTGGTCCTTGCCACAAGGTGTAGACGCGGGGAAAGGCTTTCACGGTATCCAGCAGCCACTTGAAGCCGGGATCGAAAGGACGTTGCTTTTGGTGGCCAAAGAGCCAGTGCGCTCCAGGCGGAGTGGGCAGCTTCTTCATGGCATTCCTCCAACTCACAACCTGTTTCAGTGACACGAGAACTCTCCACAAGAAGGCCGTTGCAAGTGCTATGCAAATTGCTTGCCAAATCATTTTGGTACACGCGCCCAGCTTCAAACAACATGAACTGTACCTGTTACAAACCTTGAGGATAGTGCATCAGCCGAAAATTTCCAGGTCTTTTATAATGGCTCGACGTTAGAGCTTATCATCAGACGGTAAATATAGACTTACCTCAAACTGGGCCAAGTTGAAACATATTTATGCAAATCATACCATTACAATGAACAGCTCAGAGAGCTTTGACCTACACTAAAGTTATGTCAATATGCTTAATACGTGTCAGTCAAAATTACTCATGCAAGTATCACTTTTCATAACAGTGCTTTATTATTGTCATGTATCTTTCCTAATCAACTTCATCCAGGTTGTGAGACCTTCTGGTTCAGGAAACCTTCCGACGTAAAACAAGACATCTCATTTTAATAGTACTGTACATGAGCTTCAATGATGCCTTGATACTCCAGAAGATCACTTGCGTCTTCAGAGAGTACAATGGAACCTGCTGAAGTAAAACAAAAAAGGCTTTTATGTCATTTAAGTATCAGCTGTCATAAGACCTTTCGAAGCCCAACAAAATACCATACCGCTACTCTCTGAAGACGCCAGTGATCTCCTGGAGTAACGAGGCCTCGTTGAAGCTCATGTAGAGTACTAAATGATATGTCTCACTGTAGTTGGACTGATAAAAAAGTTCTTACCGTTTACAAATGTCCTACAGCCCAAGAAGGATAGAGACTTACAGCTTCCTAAAGGTCTTAGAGGCCTAGAAAGGTTTGAAAGCCCCAAAGGTTCTATGGCCCCAAAGGTTTCTTAACTCCAAAAAGTAATACAACCCCAACAATTTCATATCCCAAGAAGTCCTGGGACTCCAAAAGGTCATAGAACCCCAAATGTTCTCACGGACCCCAAAAGGTCTCGCGACCAAGGTCCAGCAAGCTCCAATACAGCCAGGTGTTTCAGGCTGTGTTTGCAGCATATCTGAATAAATACATACGACGGTTGTGATTGTACTTCATACGTAGGTTGGAGGCCGTCCATAAAGTATGTACGCATGTACTTTGCGTACAGGGCCAGAGGTTTGAGGCAATGTACACAAACAGAGCAAAAAGTACTTTTGGTAAATTGACATTAAATTAATGTCCTTTTCCTATCTATTATTATCGGCACCACCTTTATGATACGGATAAAGGAGTCAAACCATGCAACAAAAGCGAGGAAAGAGTACGCATACTTTATGGACTGTTCCTTGTGTGCTTGTATTTCTCTTTCTTTTATAAGTGATGGTTACAATAGATAAAGTTAGCGTCGATTTGGTTAAAGTGGGGGGTATGGTTGCATTTTTTAAGAAAGGGAGAAAACAAAAACGAACTAAACTGACATTTTCATTTTTGTTTCACACTATGCACTGTTTTAGCCGACTAGGTTATCACGTTTAAACGAGATATCCACATGTATACATGTATATGGTTTAAACGCGATACTAAGTCGTTTAGACGAGATAGCTATGCTGTTTAAATGAGATACTAAGTCATTAAATCGAGATAACTATGTCGTTTCAAAGAAATAATAAGTCGTTTCAACGATATTTTAAGTCTTCTTAACTAGATAAAATATTTGTTTGCGTCGGCAGCAATACGTTTCCTTTACTGTCGGTGGTCGAGTGGCACATTCGTCACTTGGAGAGACGCTCGTTAACTCGATTATAGACTCAGTATAAGTGCCAAGTCGACAGTGGCGTCACTACGGGAGGAGCACAGGGTACGCCCCCCCCCCTTTGAAATCTACGAATTATCTCCGTTGCAATAAAGCTGCAACTTGTTTTCTTGTGGTGCCCCCTTGAAAAAAATGTGAGCACCCCTGGGTCACCCCCCCCCCGAAATCTCTCCCCACTGCAAGTGGGTACATTGTGTAATTCAGTCGATCGCTACACTGTCAGTGACGTAAATTTGGGCCAGAAATTTAGAGATCGGGAATGGTGAGATGACTCACCCAGCCATGGTCATTTGAAAACGGAGGGGGGGTTGACAACATAGGACACTACATAGGGGGCGATGTTCATGATACAGATGCATATGTATTACATTTTTGTAAAATTTTTCATCTTAATGGCATATTTTCATTGTTTTTCCCTAAAGTGCTATTAAATACATTTTGGTCGTTGTGAAGTCCTAAAATTCTTCACAATCTGCATGAGTTTTTTCTCAGCAAGAAAAAGTGGAGGGGGATGAGTAAAGAGCCCATCCTCCACCGGAAGGAAACGTGGGGGAGGGGATATATACCCCATTCCCTGGGATTTACGCCCATGCACCCGGTATACGTGTACATGTGTTGATTTAGGCGGGGGCATTTCTCGTACCTGACCTACTAATGATCGACTATTGATAACTCGAAACTTGCTTCGGGTTAGGACCACCATACCCACCTTTTCCATTTTTTCCTCGGTAACAATTGGCGCAGTAGGAAGAATGATACGTGTTTGGACGAGGATGCAGATTATTTATGTATAATTTCAAAATGAACAAAAACAATAAACGACAGTCAATATATGTGGTTCTTGGGGACTGGATGTATTGGACATCAGCTTAAGGTGACTGGACGAAAGGAGGCTGACCTTAATTCATCTGGAAGCTGCTGATACATCCAAATGGTTGGTTCAATGGAGTTATACATATGTAATGTATTGTCTTATTGAAGTTTTCTGAATTGAAATGGTATGAATATTATAGTGGTGCCTTTTTAGATGTACATTGTATGTGGCACAGTTGGTAATGCTTGTCCACCTTTTGGAATGTAGGAATTCCTTATTTGTATCCGATTTAGGGCTGTTGTCTCCTTTTTATGTCCTTATGAAGGTACATGTGCGTATAATCAATTTAGAGTGAACAGTTTTATCGAAAGTATGTGCCAACATTTTAGGAAATGAAATTGGTTATGCACTGCAGTCGCCTGCGAGTGGATTTGAAATTTGTTGATGACTCAATATAGGTAAAGACCTTTGTCAGAAAATCTGTTGTTTATTTACGGTTTTGATGTGATGATTTATCTTGTGGTAGTTTTGTCATTGCAGTTGAAGATTTGGAGGTACTAACTCGCCATTCTGTTCACTGCCATTTCCACTGCTGCCTTTTGTCTAGTTTCATGTAAAGTACCTTGGCTGCTGCTGCGGTCTGCTTTTGGCCGTTGATCGAACAAACCGGTGATTGCACATGGGAAACCGGTATAAGGTATTTTTGCGTGTTGCGTTAGTGCTTGTTAATTTTAATTTGATATGTACATTAATTTTCCTCTTTTTCTGTAAAGAACAGTTTCCATTTTTGACAACTTTGTGGTTTTTAAATCATATTTCTGCTCGTGGACATTCGCATCGGATCTGTTTGAGCAGATGTTCTTATTTTCAGTGACATACTGAGTCAGGTTAATTGGCCACGTTATCCTGTGTTATATGCTGGAATATGTATGTATTCCAGAATTCCTTGGTCTTTCCAAGTTGCAATTGGCAGATATATTAAGGTGCAATCACCTGTGATATGTTGTCGCAATGAGGCTTACGATTCTCTTGGGTAGCGTTTTGAGATTTTTATAATGTAAGACGCTAGATCGAAATAGAATTATTATTAATGATTGCTATTCATATAAGTAGCATTTCCAACACAAATTGTGTCATGGAGAGATACTTTATTTAATTTTCCGTCTGTCTTTTGATATTTGGCACAACCTGCACGACCACAATTGACCGATAGTCTGAGTTATTCACCCACTGTTAGTGAACCGAATCCAGTTCCAGTTTGTCAAATCATCAAGTTCCCGTATTTGGGACAGTCATCACGCCGCGGGCACTATAACGTCTTGGGAATTTTGCTGCGATGGCTAATGGTTTGCTTTGTTTTTTCCCGCTTATCCTGGGGAACCAATCAACAGCTTCGTTTGAGCCCTATAATGAATTAGGCATATAAGTTCATGACGTCCGGCGAGAATTGAAAACAAAAATGGCGTCCTGATCTTGAGGTCCGAAAATTTCTGCGTAAAATACTGTGTTTAGGTGGTTGTAACACGCCTTTAAGATACTCCAATAAAGATTTTTTACCAGTCAATCATTTACCCTACAATTTCCACTGCGGAGGAATAGACCAAATTTGCAGTGCTAAAGCGACCAGCGACATCGCATCGTGACTGATCGTATAGTGATAAGGGTGCATGCAGTGTGCGTCTGATGATTCGCGGACTAAACTACTGGCAAGTCTTGGAACCACAGGAAAACTGTAAATATTATCTATTGGCATTTCTCACATGCATGCTACAACGACCTGAACACGGCATTTTATGCGGAATTTTTCAGGCGTCTAGATCGGGACATCACTTTTGTTTTCAATTCTCCGTCGAATGACTTTTTGAGCTTCATGTATAATTAATTATAAGGCTCAAACCAAGCTAGCTGTTGATTGGTTCCCTTGGGAAAAGCTAGGGGAAAAACAAGCCAGTGCTGCAAAATTCCCAAGACACTGGTGTGCTAGAGGGCGTCTCGATTTACAAAAAACAAATTCGCGATCCACTATCGATCACTGGTGTCTTGGGCCAAGACCATATTGGATGCAGGCCTAGGCTTTGTCTGCGTTGAAGCACATTTTTGCACCAAGGACTGAACTGTTTTTCGCCAGTGGAGTCTAGCATTCTTCACTGTAGTGCCTGTCAAGCTCTTGCCCATAAGGTCATCTTGTGTACATAAAATCTTTCTTCCGTGTTAACCTTATCATTGTAAACTACTTCCAATCAGCATTCCTTTGTTATCCTTATTTTTTACATGCCAAGTGTAACATTCTAATTTAATCATACTTGTTTATTTGTTCCTAATATCAGTGTGATCTTTGCTTGATTTCTTTGTTGCATCGGGTAAAATTTAAGCTTTAAAGTATTTACTATTCTTGAATAGTTTGAAGTTTTTCGGAGTGTAATGTCATTCTCATCCAGGTTTTTAGTAAGGGAGAATTGGGGATTTGTAAATTTTGTAATTTCATTTTCATCACTTTTCCCTGGAAAGTTGGAGTACATTTAAGGTTTATGAAGTGTTGGTGCAGTCAGTTCCTTGAAAAAAAAGACAAGTCTCCATGGGTCAACTTGCCATCCCCCCATAGGTACACCACTGCTCCTCTAAGAGTGTCAGTACAAATGTTTATTAATTTAAGGCAGAAAGACTGTTAAATATATCTACATAATAAGAATGACGGAGGATGATCGTCAGAAGTTCATCAAATTATGTCAATTTTTATGATGGGGCTTACAAGTTATTCAAGCTAAAGTTCTTTAAAATGCAACCTGTTTTTTGTATAACCATAAACCAAAAAGCCAAAACTAATACTAAAGCGTCTTAAACCAGCTAAATATGCGGTAGGAGGTGCTTTCAAAAGCTAATTTTATCAAAATTTAGTTTTGTCGAAAGTTCCAATATTTCACGCAAATATTCATCCTTTAAACAATGCAACGATAGGCTATGTAACATGGGGACCACTGTTATTTTCTGTAGTCTTAAAGAATTGAAACCGAGCAAACACACTTTTATAAATATTCTCACTAACTACCAAGAATCAAAAACTAAATATTTTTTTCAAATATCTTCAGCTTAACAGACCTTAAAGTGCGTAATTTTGAAATCCACTAACTTCAAGGCATTATAATGCAAGTTAATAAGTCCGCGTGAAATTGTTTCCATTTATTTACAGTTAAAACTATGAGAAATTATCATTTGTATACACAAAGAACACTACAGTATTATTTTTATGCGGATCTATCGCTACCATAACACAGGAAGAAGTAACAATAAAAAGACATTTAATAAACAGATTATCACAACTCCACTACAATACATTAACTGAGCGGAAAAGAATTCAAATCTTCTCACTGCAGTCGTAAAGCAAATCAACAGTATGAACCACAGGAACACAATTTATACAGCAGCTTTGATATAAACTATGCATTTGATTAAATTGTATCTTATATAAATCAGGACGCATTACCTTGGCTTATTAACTGTAATCGATTATAATATGGATTCTACTTTCTTTTAAAGTTAATACACTTAAGGTATATACAATTTATTTATTTATTTAAGAATCGCTTGTACCGCATTTTTATTCAAATCAAGCATTAAGGTACTTATTTTTTGGTAGAATTTGCCATAAACCGATGAATGATGCTGAAATTTCACAAACATTCCTCAAAAATGTGGGTTCCTGCCATTTTCACTGTATACGGGATTTAATTTCCTTTGATTTGCTCGATGGCGATATACAATGGTTTCACTGGTTTAGTGACGAGGTTCATCTGTGGAACCGGCTTTGGTTCCCCGTCAACCAGACTCAGACGGAACCTCATCAGGATTCGACCCACAAACACCTTGATCTTGTTCAAGGCGAACTGCTGCCCAATGCAATTCCTCGCTCCGGCTGAGAACGGCACGTAGGCGAATGGGTCCATCTGGGAGAGGTTCTCGGGCAGGAATCGAGAGGGCTTGAACTCCATGTGGTCTTGGCCCCAGACGCTGGGATTATGATTGAGCTGGTGAAGGCAGAGAAATACCATAGTTCCAGCGGGGATTGTAACGTCGTCCACTTTGTACGGAACGGTCACGGTGCGACTGATCATCGGTGCTGCGTTCATCATTCTCATGGACTCCTTGATGACAAGGGTCATATACTCCATACGGCTGAGGTCCTTGCTGGAAAGAAATAAAATATTACAAGATTAAGTACGTCACGTGATTTATGATGTTAATGGCAAGATCCTGACTTTTTAAATAAAATGCTCAGAGCATTTTCAAATAATAGCTTCTCGGTATAGACTTGGCAAGCTTCAGAGATATGCTGTTGAGTAACTACAGACCGAGAGTCTGAGTCACTGCTTGAGTCACACCCTTAAAAACAACGCGCTACACATTTCTCCCTGCCAAGGAGTACGTAAATATCTGTGAATTTGATATCGATTCAAGTTTCTGATGTGATGGTTTGATGTTTCGGCTTTGCCGACTATATCATTCAGATTCTCCAGGGCTAAACATCGCGCGAATAAAATTACTGAAACTGTCTACCTCGTAATTCTGTCCGTGTCTCTATCGGTCAGAATCTCCTTCACTTCTTCCCTAATCTTCGTCTGGTGCTCAGGGTACTTTGCCAGGTTGTACAGTAACCAGGTCATTGAGGTGGCCGTAGTCTCGTGGCCGGCGAACATGAAGGAATTAACTTCGTCGGACATTTCCTCCATAGTGAAGCCCTTGCCATCGGCATCTCTAGCCATCACAAGTGTGTCCAAGAAATCGCGTGGCTTAGTGATGGGGTTACCAGCCTCCATCTGCATGAGGAATAAGACCCGTGTACACTTCAGAACCTTTGCCTGAGTGATACCAGTGCTGGATGATTACTAAAACATAATCAGCTGCAACTGCATCAAAAGGAGAAGCTCAACCAACGAGTAGAACATTGCTGCTGCCCTGGGCTGAACCAAGAGAGGGTGCGGCTTTCCTAGCAACGGTTCACAATGGGAGATTTTGAGACGCTGGTGGCAGCAAACATACCGGTCCTTTTTCAAGGTATTGCGCTCGCTCAGAACTATGCACGCATGCTCAGAGCAACGTGCGCATGCTCAGAACTGGTAAAAAGACCGGTATGTATGTCTTCCAAGCGTCTTAAAGTCTCCCATTGCAGTAGCACAGCATCCACAATCATCAGAGTATTGGTTGACACCCACAACAGCTATGGCCGAAGAAGCGTGCAAACCACCTGTCAACAAACGTTCTGCCACTGTAGCAATGGCATCTAATTTTGGTGTTCGAATTAAACTATAAAAATTCCAATATGACCTTATAAGTATTTCGATTCCAAGACTTTCATTATCATGTGCAAATCTAGACTTCACTTTTACAGATTTTACCTTCGCGGTGATTTCCTTCGTTCGGTCTTCGATAATTTGCTTAGCCAGTTTACGGAGGTACTTGAAGGCCTTCTTATACCTGGGATAGTCGGAACTCAACCGGAAAATCCACGGGTTTAATAGAAAAGGATTACGGAATTGGCGCTCCTGGATAAACCAAGTCATGGTATCGCAAGCAGACAAAACATCCAAGCCATCCTCCTTTGGCAGCTCTTGAAGCTGAAAGGAAAGACCGGGGAAATGTTTGCACTAGACACTAATTGCAGCTTATATATAATACCCTCAAACAACAAACTTTCTCGTCTTTCTTCGAAGGAGGTAATATGCTTATAATATCGAACACACGTGGCTTGTAGCTTTTCCTCTAGTATTTTGTGACTCGAATATTCAACAGTGTTTGTTTACCGGGGGCACTTTAGCTTAATTTTAGAAGTGTCTAGACACTGAACTACCCTTTAATGTGCGTATTTGTGAACAGTATGTATGTATGTCTGTATGTCTGTATGCACGGAAGCCGGTTTTTAATATGCAAGATACAAAGTTTTACCTGGCAATTCGATTTGTAGGAAAAGGCAGTGCGGAGAATAACATCAAATGTAGCAAGCACAAGCTCATGGTTGACATCAATGGGCTTGCCCTGGACAGCTAGTTGGTCCATCTTCCCCAGCAGTACCTCCACACAGTCGTTATATGCAACGGAGTACGTACGGAGGACGTCCAGGTGAAAAGAGTGAGTCAAGAGCCGGCGATTCCTCTTCCATTTGGCCCCCTTTGATGTTGCTAGCCCCTCGCCTACCCAGTCGGCCAAGAGTTCGTACATTGGAGACTTCTCGCTGGCTACAGCCCCCGTCAGCAGCGGTTTGATGGTTTCGGGATGGACCAGAACGGGAAAAGGCATTGGTCCTAGCCACACGGTGTAGACGCGGGGAAAGGCTTTCACGGTATCCAACAACCACTTGAAGCCGGGATCGAAAGGACGTTGCTTTTGGTGGCCAAAGAGCCAGTGCGCTCCGGACGGAGTGGGCAGCTTCTTAATGGCATTCCTCCAACTCACAACCTGTTTCAGTGACGCGAGAACTCTCCACAAGAAGGCCGTTGCAAGTGCTATGCCAATTACTTGCCAAATCATTTTGTTGCCGTGCCCAGAAGCCTCAAATAACATGAGCTATACTTGTTGCAAACCTTGAGGATAGTGCATTAGCCAAAAATGTTCAGGCCTTTTATAACTGCCCTATGTCAGAGCTTATCACCAGACGGTAAATATAGACTTTACCTCAAACTGGGCCAAGTTGAAACATTTTTATGCAAATCATACCATTACAATGAACAGCTCAGAGAGCTGTGACCTACACTAAGGTTACGTCAATATGCTTAATACGTGTCAGTCAAAATTACTCATGCAAGTATCACTTTTTATAGCAGTGCTTTATTATTGTCATGTTATTGACGTCATCCATATTGTGAGACCTTCTGGTTCATGGAACCTTTCGAAGTAAAAAAGGTTTTAATGTCATTGGGTCATAAGACCTTTCCAAGATAAGACCGGGCAAAATATTCTCTGAAGACGAAAACTGATTTCCTGGAGTACATAGGCCCAAGGAGGCCTTATTGAAGCTAATGTAGATTCCTCAATGATATCTTTTACAGCAGTTGGACGTACCGGGAGGTCTTTCACAAATGTCTTATAGTGGAGAAGGTTTTTCATCCCCGAGAGGTCTTAAAGCCCACAAATCTTACAGCCCCCCCCCACAAAAATGTCTTACAGGCCCAAGAAGGCTTCACATCCCCAAAAGCTTGTACAGCCCCAAAGGTTTCTCGACTCCAAAAGCTCTTGAAGACCCCAAAAGTCTTCATGTCCCAAAGGTCCTGCACTCCAAAGGGCAGACCTGCCAACATACCGTACTCCTTATTGAGGTGTGGCAGTCCGAAAAGGTCTGTCGACCCAAGCTCTATCCACGGAAAGTCTTAATAGGCCAACCATCCCAAGTCTTGTAACCATGAAGTTCATTGTTACAAGACGTGTTATTAATATACTCATTCTTTGTTCACAGCATGAACGAGATTTAAATAACACCGGAGCGTCATTGAAATATATTCTTTTCACAACCTGGATAGTTAAGTTCAGCCCACGCAGTTCATCTTGTTGATGTGTGCAGAAAATATTGGACTTGAACCCTGATGTGATAGGCTTCCTGTTCCGCGTCTGTTGGCAGGCACTATGGAATTCCATATCTGCCGTCGTCCGTCGCCTTTTGCTTTTTGTTGTGTCCCAATTCTGCCATTTACCAGTTCCAAACATGCCATTTTCCGTCGCCCGTCGAGCGTCGCCCGTTGTCCGTCGTCCGTCCCCCGTCGTCCGTCGCCCGTCGTTTTTTCTTATTTTGTCACTCTTGCGCAGTGGTATTTTTAACTTTGACCCTTGATCGTTTCACATGTACATGTACTTGTTCGATCAATCCACCTTAAAATTTTCATAAGAGACAAACTGATTCCACATTTTTTGAGGGCGGGTATACCTATGATGATATCTGCTGTATTCTCCAAATTAGACATGACTTGGGTTGCAGGTAGGCTCACAGAAGCCTTTTAAACAGTAACGTACTTGTTAACCCCATAAATAATGCTGATATGCTGGA